CAAACTCTCACACCTGTCAGTCAGCCCGAGAGTGTCCAGCCCCTCCCATGTAACTCAGTCATTCAACAACCAGTTGCTGAGTGCCTGCGCTGTTGCACCACACACTGTGCCAGTGCTAAGATGGGCCAGAAAAGAAAACATGGTCCTTATATTCTAGTTCTACCACCTACTGGCACAAACTGTCAACTAACATGTTGACAAACTAATAGATCGTAATGCACGTCATGCTGTGGTCTTCCCTGTTAAACCTATTTGTGATGGCAATGGGAGGCAATTCTAAGCCAAGCTGGGGGAGAAATGGGCAAGGATATGGCGGGAGCATGGGAGTGCGGACTTTGGAGGACCCCTTGAACCACACCACACAAACCCCTGCCCCTTGGGATGCATTAACATCATAGAAGGGCCCCAGACCAACTGTGTTACCCCACTCAGCCTGGTTGGGAGCATGTGTCCATGGCCCTCACTGTTCCTCCCAGAGCTCCAGCGTCTTCTGAAATGAGTCTGTGCCTTGCAATTACAGCTTTTTCCCGACCCCAGGAAGCCGTTTGCTAGCCTCCTGATGAGTCCAAACTCAGCCTTTGCCCCCTCCTCAGGCAGGAACCTGACTTGGTTTACACCACCATTCACCATCCTAGCTTAGTCACTCACGGTGGAAGGGCTGTCCCAATTTGAAGAACGGCAGATCACAAATGTCAACTGGCTGGAACCCAAGTGCCAGGTTCTTGCCAGAGGCACTCCTTTTAGACCAGCCTGCACAGTCAGGAGCCCATAATGAAAGAGGCTGACAGTCCATTAGCAGCAGAGTGGTCCGCAGGGCTCAGAGGACAGGAGCTGTCATCCCCTCACTTCAAGGGCTTTCGAGGTGAAATCGACTCTGTGAGTATGCGTGTGTGTGTGTGTGTGTGTGTGTGTGTGTGCGCGCGCGCGTGGGTGTAAAATCTTTTAACAAAAGAATATTAATCATAGCTGTTGCTGTTAAGATGGGTAGATAGTCAACAATCTGACATCAAGGAGAGGAAATGTCAACATGGCTCTTGTACTCTGTCCTCCCAACCCCTGGGGCAGGTCTGAAAGACAATCCCGTAATAGCAGAACAACTGAATCACAGGATTGGAAGAACTTAGAGGTCTTCTCATCCAACGCCTCTCTGATGTGACTCGTCACGCCCATGTTCCTGACAAGGAATCATCTTTTTGCTTCAATGACTCTAGTCACAAAGAACTCACCACCCCACTGGGACATTTTGAACATCCCACTTGCTGATTTCTCCAACGGTTAAGAAATCTTCCTGATCTGGCCGGGCATGGTGACTCATGCCTGTAATCCCAGCACTTTGGGAGGCCAAAGCATGTGGATAGCTTGAGGTGAGGAGTTCAAAACCAGCCTGGCCAACATGGTGAGACCCTATCTCTACTAAAAATACACAAATTAGCCGGGCATAGTGGCGGGCGCCTATAATCCCAGCTACTCGGGAGGCTGAGGCAAGAGAATCACTTGAACCCCAGAGGCAGAGGTTGCAGTGAGCTGAGATGGCACCACTGCACTCCAGCCTGGGTGACAAGAGCAAAACTTTTTCTCAAAAAAAAAAAAAAAAAAAAACCTTCCTGATCTAAGAACTTCAACTTGGGAACATATAACTTCTACCCATTGGTCCTAGTTTTTACCCTTTGAAGCCACACACAAAAAAAAGGAAAAAGAGGAAAAAAAAAAGCCAACCTGTCTTCCCCAAGATAGCCCTCTTGTGGCTCTCCTTTCCAGGCTGACATGGCTTTATGTGCCCCCACCCATGTGCCAACCACACTCTGGACAAGGTCCAGTTTGTTGATAACATCCTACTCTTGTCACCCAGCCTGGAGTGCAATGGCTTGACCTCAGCTCACTGCAACCTCCACCTCCTGAGTTCAAGCAATTCCCCTTCCTCAGCCTCCCAAGTAGCTGTGATTACACGTGTACACTACCATACCCAACTAATTTTTGTATTTTTAGTAGAGATGGGGTTTCACCATGTTGGCCAGGCTGGTCTCAAACTCCTGACCTCAGGTGATCCACTCACCTTGGCCTCCCGAAGTGCTGGGATTATAGGTGTGAGCCACCACGCCTAGCTTCTTTTTTTTTCTTTTTTTTGAGACAAAGTCTTGCTCTGTCACCCAGGCTGGAATGCAGTGGCACGATCTTGGCTCCCTAAAACCTCTGCCTCCCGGGTTCAGGTGATTCTCTTGCCTCAGCCTCCCCAGTAGCTATGATTACAGGTGCACACCACCAAGCCCCACTAATTTTTGTATTTTTGTAGAGACAGGGTTCCGCCATGTTGGCCAGGCTGGTCTGGACCTCCTGACCTCAAGTGATCCACCGGCTTGACCTCCCAAAGTGCTGGGATGACAGACGTGAGCCACCACGCTTAGCCCCATTCCATGTTTCATAGCATGTGATCAAATGCCTTGCTGAAATCCAAGCATATTATAACCACAATATGTTCTTGATCTCTCACCACACTAATTCCATTAATATCTAGAGAAAAGAAAGAAGGAAAGAAAGTGCCCAGGACTGGCCCCAGCCCAGTGTGAGTGGGAATAGGCAGAACTTCCGCCTTCCTTATTCTGGACATTAATTCTATTAATTCCACTTCAGATCACATTACCCTGCATGGAAGTTGGAGCTCATTACTGACTCAGACTAAGCTTTGGCCCAGGTCAAAGGCTCAGGTGTTGGCTTTATTTTTATTTACTTCTTTAGGAGACGGAGACCTGCTCTGTTGCCCAGGCTGGAGTTCAGTGCTGTGATCCCGGCTCACTGCAATCTCCGCTTCCCAGTTCAAGCGATTCTGCTGCCTCAGCCTCCCGAGGAGCTAGGATTACAGGCGCACACCACCATACCCAGCTAATTTTTATATTTCTTTGTAAACAAAGTTTCACCATGTTCACCAGGCTGGTCTCAAACTCCTGACCTCAAGTGATCCACCCGCTTTGGCCTCCCAAAGTGTTGGAATTACAGGCACGAGCCACTGCACCTGGCCTGGTGTTGGTCTTAATATAGGAGTAATGGAAGCATTAGACAACATATGACATATTCCTATCTTTTCCCACCTGACTCCAGAAGAAGCCAGCACTGAGATTCCACCTCCCCTGGGTGGGATTCAGTGCAGGCCCTGCAAAGGGTAGGAAAGAAGGGAAATGCTTTGAGTATGGGAGGTGGATGGGCATTATCATAAGTAGAATGGTAGTGTCCAAGACTGGACAGAAATGTGACTGGAGTAGCAGGAACCAGTGCCCCACTGGTACTTGTCACCAGGAAGGGGCATCCTGAACCCTTCTAGAGGAGCAGTGTCCAAGACAAGGGCAGATTCCAGGGCCAAACCCCAGCATCCAGTGGTAGAGAGGTGACCTCACAGATAGTAAGCACAAACTCCTGGATATGGCCCCACAGAGGCAAGGAGTCCTAGATTATCACAGACAGGATTATCACAGACAGGAGGGTGCTCAAGAGGTAGCGGGCATTGAATTTGCAGCCGCCTGACTGGGGAGCAGAATAAATCTGACTCAAAGAAATAAAGGCAGCTGGACACGGTGGTTCACGCCTATAATCTCAGCACTTTGGGAGGCCCAGATGGGTGGATCACCTGAGGTCAGGAGTTCAAGACCAGCCTGGCCAACATGGTAAAACCCCATCTCTACTAAAAATACAAAAATTAGCTTGATGTGGTGGTGAATGCCTGTAATCCCAGCTACTGCGGAGGCAAGAGAATGGCCTTGAACCCGGGAGGCAGAAGTTGCAGTAAGTCGAGATCATGCCACTCCATTCTAGCCTGGGCGACGCTGAGACTTGGTCTCAAAAAAAAAAAAAAGAAAGAAAGAAATTAAGAAAGGCAAGTGATGTGTCAGATTCCAGAGTCACTGAGAAAACTCATACCCCCATATCTCCATGGCTGTCACACTGTGGCTCTCCTCCTCTCTGATATGTATGCTGTGGATTTTTGGGACCCCAGTGTATTCCTTTGTTTTTATTCACACTGCATTTTTCTTTTGACCCATCAAAGCAGCCTTTTGATTTATGAGACTCCTAATTGTCAGTCATTTTGTAAGCTCTTCCTCCAAGGTTCGTGAAATCTTCTATTTTGGTTGCCTCATCCGAGTCATTAACAACAGGTGTTGAATCCAGCTCAACAAAGGGCAGAGGACAGAGCTCCAAGTGCTACTAAGGGCTCCTTCCCAGCTGACACTGACGCACTGATCAGTCATCTCTCCCACCGCCTGTTCAGTCTCTCAGGAATTTATCTAACTCCACTGCTATCCATCCCACATATCTCTCTGCCTTGTTCATAGGATATATTGTCCAATGCCTAGCTGAAACCCAAGTGTACTCAATCTACCTCATGTTCTCCATCTATCAGCACAGTGACCCTATCAAGCAAAAGAAAAATGAAATGAAAGGAGGTTAATCTGGCCTGACTGCTGTCTGGCTCTTGGCAAAGCCACTGTAGCTACATGGAGTCCCCAATGCTTTTTTTTTTTTTTTTTTTTTTTGAGACAGGGTCTCGCTCTGTTGCCCAGGCTGGTGTGCAGTTGTGTGATCATAGCTCACTGCAGCCTCGACCTGCCAGGCTCAAGCAATCCTTCCACCTCAGCCTCCTGAGTAGCTGACACTACAGGAACACACCACTACACTCAGCTAATTTTTTTTTTTTTTTTTTAATTGTAGAGAGGGATCTTACTACATTACTTAGTCTGGTCTCGAACTCCTGGGCTCAAGTGATCCTCTCACCTTGGCCTCACAAATCACTGTAATTACAGGCATGAGCCACCATGCCCAGTCCCGCTGCCGTTTCTAATGGCCCTTTGAATCTGGTCAAACCCTACCCAAACTCATCACCAAACACCAGTTGCCCCTCCCCACAACCTGAATGTCCAATGTCTCTGCCTTGGTCTCCCTGAGACTTACAAATCAGAGTTCACAATCAAACAATAAGCATGAAGAAAGCAAAAAACCAGAAGCCAGACCACTGATGAACACTTTCTTCCTTCTTTTTTTAATTAAGAAGTCTAAAGAAAACCTTCATTGACGCAGGGGACATAATATAAATTACGGTGACCTGCATATAAAACCTGGCACCAAATTTGGCCTTTGGGAACATTTATATATAAAAATATGCATTAAAATCCACACCAGGGCACAGTGCAGAGCTGGAAGCCTGGATGGGAGTGACCACCAAGGCATACGTGGTGCGTGGACGCAGGGAGCCCTTGGTCCTCCAGCTTCAGGGTATGCCCTGCATGAGAGTGGCCTACTCTAAGGAGAGGTCAGAAGGCAAAACCCCTGTGAGCACCAAAAAGCCACAAGCCTGGTGTGAAACGAAAATGGTGCTGGGAAGGATGGGGAGAAGGGTCATCTTTCTTTCCCTTATCCCTGGACTCTACCCACTACCAGAAGATTCTGGCTCTCTGCTAGACAAACCACCTTTGATTTAACTTTAGAGGAACTTTTGCCATTTTCTTTTTCTTTTTTTTTTTTTTTTTTTTTTTTTTTGAGACAGAGTTTCGCTCTTGTCACCCAGGCTGGAGTGCAATGGCGCGATCTCGGCTCACCACAACCTCCGCCTCCTAGGTTCAAGCAATTCTCCTGCCTCAGCCTCCCACTTTTGCAATTTTCAAACACATTTTTTTTCCAAGTAAGTCAATCAATTCGAACTCGAGGTTCCACATCATAATCAGCTTGGATCTGAAAAATTAAGAACTAGTTCTTACATTATTTTCTGCAGGCCAAGACCTTGAAATACCTACAAGAATGGCTATAATCACAAGAAAAAACAATGATGACTGTTTTCAATCTATTTTAGTCCTGGATCAAATGCGACTGAGCAATTCTGGCCTAGTAATTACACTTCACAGGCAATGCAATGACACGCAGCCAGGATAAATGCTGGAACTGCCCCACTCTGGGTGTGACCTCACTGAAGCCCTCAACTATCTTTCCACAAAGTCCCCGGGACAGGCAGGGTCAATACTGCACATGTCTTCAGGGATGAAGACACAGTCCCTTCACTGGCAGGGCCCGTCACTCTGGCTGAACAGAGGTCAGGACTTGCTTATCCATTGGCTAGTCATTCACTGGATCCCTGCGTCGCCTATCCTGTGGCTCTGTGGAAAGTGGCAGCTGTCCCTGACTGGCTGCTAAGCTGTTGCTCAAATAGTCTGGCTCCACAGATGGGAAATACACAAATGGGAACATCACAGAGGTGGAGAGGTGGAGGGTGGGCGTGGAGAACATTAGAAGATGCAATCCGGAGGGAAAAGCCCTCTGGGCTTTCAGTATCCCACAAGGATGGCAGTGCCTCTACTGTTTCGGGGCTCCTGATAGTTACTCAAAGGGCTGGGAGTCCTTCCTGTCACTCTGGTAGATTCAACAAAGGGAAAACAGCCACCCTACTGATTTCTATCCAAAAGCAGTGATTTTCTCCATTGCCTCCAGGGTGGTCTTTTTTCTTCCCAGTCCTGGGCTTGACTGTCTTGCTGCAGGGTAATCTGACACTTTTCCTCAACTGTGGCAATAAGTGAAAGGAGAGCGGAACAAAAGACCTGAATTGCAATGTAGGCAAAAAGCTGACAGCCACACAGGCTGTTAATGAGGGACTCTCTCTTAGGCAGCATGCCGCAAGACACGGGTGCTAAGAATGAGAGACAGGTAGCCCCTGTGGTAGTGTGCCTGACACCAATCACACCACATCATACAAGACCAAGAAAGCAGGACGACACTCTGCCTAGTTATTAGGGCCTTTTTGGGGGAGAAGGCCAAACTGGGCAGCTCCTTTACAAAGTCTGGGGACATTTTGTACTAAACAAAGAGGAACTTCACTGCAAAGTGACCTGAGAACACCCTCTAGTGGAAATTATTAATAAAACAAGGACCATGCGTCCAATTCACCTTCTAATACAAGAATGATTTTTAAATTTCCCATAAAATGGAAAAAAACAAAACAAACAGAAAAACAACATATTATCTTTTAGAACACAAAAACAATTTTTAAAAGGTGGGAGTTCCCACCATGCTTAGTACCCTGACTGCCAAATCACATTCCTTCCTCGGAGACTCTGACTTCAATACATTCTAAGAAACGGGGATATGTTGTGGGGGGAGCCACTGGTCCCCTTAAAGTTTGGGCAGACTGCCTGCTGGTGCCAGAATGATGCCAAACACGTAGAAAAGTCCCAGCAAGAGGTTGAGCTTGGCAGTCCTCTGGGGCAGTTTGTTGAAGGCCTGGCTTCGGAATTGTCTCTCAAGGGAGAAGGCCATGGGAATGGTGAGCAGGGGGAGCGCCAGGCTGATGCTGCAGTGCGTGGCCAGGATGCTGAAGACCAGGTAGGGCAGGAAAAGAAGCGTGTTGTAGAGAATGTAGGAGAACGTGGGGCCGATGAGGATGGCCAGTGTGACGATGCCAGCCTCCCGGTCGGAATCCATGTCCCTGGTGTTGTTGGAATGCAGAATGGCCTCGGTGCTAAGGGCAAGGGGGATGGCATAGACCAGTGGGAAGATGGCCAGGGACCCCACCTGGATGGCGTAGGCGAACATCACAGCCAGCGGGCCAAAAGTGATGAGGATGATGAGGTCTCCCAGAGCCACGTATTTGAATCCAATTCCTGCGGCCAGAAAATCCAGAGAGTTGGTGTAAGACCAAGGCTGGAAATTTAGGGACTATTCAATGAAGAGGCAGGCCACTTCTGGCTGGGAATGGTAAATCCTTAGACTGTGCAGGTGGGCACTCATTTTGTCACTTAACCTCACAGGGCAAATTCTGATTTCTTCTCCAATGACACAGGTGCAGAGAGAATGCCCAATGAGGCCTCAAAAGTCCCTCTTCTCAGGTTCATACCCACGTTTCCCTTCCTACTGTCCCCCCACAGAGCTCTGCAACACAGCACACTGGGCGTACGCTACACTCTTAGTTCAGTGGGTTTTACAATCCAGTTCTTTGCTGTCTTTCACCCTTAACCAACCCCTGCAAGACACCATGAGATCAGTCCCTCAAAGAACAGCCACCCCGGGCTTCTACTTTTCCGCTTCCTTCCCCTAAATCTGAAGGCATCTTCTGGCTTTAAAAACCGCCAGTGAAGGCCAGGCATGCTGGCTCATGCCTGTAAGCCCAGCACTTTGAGAGGCCAAGGTAGGCAGATCACAAGGTCAGGAGTTCAAGAACAGCCTGGCCAATATGGTGAAACCCCATCTCTACTAAAAAATACAAAAATTAGCCAGGCGTGGTGGCACACACCTGTAGTCCCAGCTACTCAGGAGACTGAGGCAGGAGAATTGCTGGAACCCAGGAGGCAAAGATTGCAGTAAGCCGAGATCACACCACTGCACTCTAGCCTGACGACAGAGTGAGACTCTGTCTCAAAAAAAAAAAAAAAAAAAACCCCAGTCAATCTCAGTGAAATTTCAGGGTCCCTAAACTTCCACCCCTGCAATAAGCAAAACAGCGAGGACAGAAGAGTCATAATGCTGCTTCCCTTCTCTGGCTCCCATGAGGTTGAAACTAAATCATCCCTAACTCCTGCTTTTGTCCTGCTCATCTACTTCAAAGCCTGTCTAACCCACTTCCTTCAAACCTGCCCATTCTCTCCAACTGCAGGGCCATACTCCATCCCCCTTACCCCATTCCCAAATCTACCTCACAGTCATCTGATGCCTGGGACACTGCAGCATCCTCCAAATTGGTCTATCAGCTTCCAATCTCATAATCCCTCCTCCTCCCAGTCCCTTATCTAATCTCTAAAAAGGAGTTGAAGTGAACCTTTAAAAATACGAATCTGACCACCTTCTCCCCAGACCAACCCAACCTCTCCTGCCTCACCCTGAGCTCTCCTCCCCACTTCACACAGACTTCTTCCAGTCCGCCAGAGCCTTCAGACACCTCTCTCTTGGCCTGGCTAACTCTACTCACCCTTTAAGACTGTAAAGACCATTCCCCAGGACCACCTCCCCCGACCCCTAAGCCACATTTGATCCCCTTGCAATATGCTCCCATGGCAATCTGCCTGCCACGCTCATAAACTTCATCATGCCTTGAATTAATCTCTACCTTTCTTGCTAAACTGTAAGTTCCATGAGGGCAGGGCATGTGTCTGGCTTGGTCACAGCTTACTCCCCAATACTTGGCACGAGGGCCAAACTGAACACAGAGCTACAGTAACAAGCACCTGGAATTTGGGACCAAGGTCAGGAAAAATCTCCTACACAGACTGAAATAGGTAAAGCAGTATTGAATCGATGGAGCTGCCCACTGAGGGAGGTGACCCATGCATCTATTGGTACAGAAGCTTACCAAACTCCAGTTCTAACCAACCTACAAGATATGGACTCAGGATCAGAAAATCAAGCTCCGGTTAGGCGTTTTAACTAGTCTAAAATGACAGATGTTCCCACTTCCCAGAAGAATCAAAATAAAATAAAATGACAGATAACAATGGTCTTTAGAGGCTCAAAAGCCATGGCAGCTACAGAACAAGATCCAGCCCAAACTCACCTTCACATCAGCAGCTGGGGTTCTTTGGTGCTAATTATGTACCCTTAGTTCTTTAGAACAAAGTGTCCCCAGAGAAGGGAATTAAGGCATGGCCACTGACGCTCTCAAACACCCAGCAAGCTAATTCTGCACCTCAAGCCATGTTGTTTTTCCTTCTATTTGGACAATTTTTATAACAAGCCATGTTTTAATAAATAATTAAGTTGCATGAGGACATGCCCTCCAGGGGGACGTTCCCTCAAGCAGAACACCGGCTCCAGTTCTGAATTAGTAAATTGATGTCTCTTGCAATGTCTCACACATTTAAGAAACTACACAGCCCAAAGAAGATGCTGGGCAGGAACACTCCCAGCACAGACCTAATCGGTTCCTCTACAGCTGCCCACTCCTGTTCTTGTTTTCTCAGCTCCCCAAGCAACTTCAGGGCTCTGGCTATGAAGAAAATGCAACAGCACTATAGCCTTGACCTTTGGCTGGATTCTCCAAGAACACCTCCTTAGAGCACTTGGCAAAAAGCAATGTAAGCAAGGTTGAGCAAAGATATCTGTCCCCACCACAAAACCAAGCACAACCCACTCTGGGAAGGAGAAAGATCTGGTTATCTGACACAAGAAAACAGTAGACCCCTTGGGAAGAAAGCCGTTTCCTAGCGTTTGACACATAGCCCAAGGCTCAAGTGCTCCACCTGATTCAGAGATGTGGCCCATCTGGGAGTTTCTTTTCAGTGATTCCTCCCCTCCCAACCCCATTTTCCGAACGAGCTAATGAGCTTACACAGTGCAATACTGGACCAGTTCTCTACATGGCAGCCAGAAAGAATTTGTTAAGACATAAATCAAAAAATTGGCAAGGCCCAGAGCAACTGGAACTCTTGCTGGTGGAAGTGTAAAGAAGTACAACCACTTAAGAAAAGTTTGGCAGTTTCTCATAAAATTAAACATCATCTGCCCTGTGACCCAGCAGTTCCACTCCTGGGCATTTACCCAAGAAAAATGAAAACTAATATATCCCCAAAGACTTCAACATGAATGTTCAGTCGTAACAGCCAAAATATGGGAGCGATCCAAATCTCCCTGAACAGGAGAATGGATAAATACGTTGTAGTATGTTACAATAGAATGCTACTCAGCAAAAAAAAGGAACTACTGATACACACAACACCACAATGAAACAAAAACACCATGCTGAGCAAAAGAAGCCAGATGTAAGAGCTCAGACTAAAATAAATACATATACATACTGAATATGTATATGTATTTATATATATATGTACATATACATACTGATAGTCCATGCTGAATGGTTCTATTTATATGACCAGGCAAAACTAATCTATGTGAGAGAAATCAGAACAATGGTTCTTTTCCTGCCTCTGGATGCAGGCAGGGAGACTGGGATTGACAGGCAAGAAGCACTAGGAAGCTTTTGGGGGTGACGGAAGTGTTCTGCATGATGACAAGGGCGTGGGTTATGCAACTGTATACATTTGTCAAAATTCATCAAGCTGCACACTTAAGGTCTGTGTATTTTACTGTGTGTCAATTATACGTCAATAAAAGTCAATGTTTAAAAAATCTTAAACCAGATTATGTCACTATTCTGCTCAATATATTTCAATGCCTTCCCATTTCTTCATTCGATGAATATTTATGAAGTAATATTACATGCCAGGCACAGCTCTGGGTGCTAGGGGTTTAGCTACAAATAGGGACAGAAATCCCTGATTGCAGGGAGGGAGCTTGCAGTCTAAGGGGGAAGATAATTAACCAATTAAGTACTTTATGTGGCACGTTAGAAAGTAACATGAAGAAAACTAAGGCAGAGAAGAGCAGCAGGGGGAGTATCAGGTGGGGGCATGGAGTGGGTGTGTGATTTTAAGCAGGGTAGAAAGCAGGGTCTCACTAAGCAGCTGACATTTGGGCTAATAGGTGAAGGAGGTGAGAAAGTGAACCACACTGTTAGAATCAGGAAAAGTATTTAAAACAGAGGGAGCTGCCTCTACGAAGGACCTGAGGGAGGGGCATGAGGGGCAGGAGGTGCCGGGCGTGCTCCTGGACCAGAAAGGGGGGCAGTGTGGCTGGCCCAGGGTGAGCAGGAAGAAAGGAGGAAGGTGGGTCAGAGAATCAGGAGGAGGGCAAAGGATGGGCAAAGAATGTAGGGCCCTGGAGCGGGGGAGTCACTGTAAAGACCCTGACTTTTATTCCGAGTGAGATGGGAACTACTGGAGAGTTCTGAGCAGGACTGACAGGGCTGTCCCATATTTTAACAGAATTACTATGGTGGCTGAGTAGGGAGGGAACAGCCTGAACGGGACCAGAACAGATGGAAAGAGACTGGTTGGGAGCCTGTCAAAAAAATCCAGGGAGAGATATCACAGTGGTGGCTGGAGATGGTGAGGCGTGGTTAGATCCTACATGCATTTGGAAAGGAGAGTCAACAGAATTTGCTGATGAACTAGATGTGAGATGTCAAGTCAAGGAAGATGCCCATGGCTTTTGGCCTGAAGAACTAGGATGAAGCTGCCACTGAGTCAAATGGGGAAAAAGCTGTGGGTGAAGCAGGTTTCCTTGGGGAGAAGATCAGGAATTTGGTCTCAGACATGTTAAGCTTGAGATGTCTGTGAGACAGTTCTAGAAGTTGCTGGGTAAGAAGTTGGACATGAGTCTGGAGTTTAAGAGTCACTAGCTTGCTTAACAGATGGCATCCGAAGCCATAAGCTAAAATCACCAAGGGAGTACATGGAGATAGAGAAAAGAGGTCCAAGGACGGAGCTCTAGAGGTTGGGGAGTAGGACTTACTAAGGTCACCATGACACAGCCCCTGCCTACCTCTCCAACTATGTCTCATGCCCCCTCTGGATCACACAGACCTTTCAGTAGATTCTAGCTGATGTCACACCCACATTTGTATTTAGTGGTCCTTCAGGCCTGGAGGACTCGGCATCGCAATCAGACTCCAATTCTGCCCCTTGGCCAGCTCCTTATTCTTTCGTCTTCAAGTCCTAGTTTAAATGTCACTTTCACAAAGAGAGGCTCTTCCCTTCACCACCACCTTGTACTTTCTATTACGGCACCTCATTGATTTCCTTCACTCAACTTTTTGCAATTGGTTGCCAAG